CGCTACCTGGTTCTATACGAGTCATTAGAAATTTGCGTACATTTTTATTAAAGGTTAAATCATTTTTATTAGAACAATCACACGACGACATCAAAATTTTGCTGAACCCTACAACTTAGTAAACTTGAACTAAATATGTAATCTCATGAGCATGTACACCGCTTTTTCATAAACCAACTTAATTAAATTTAAATTTATCTTGCAATGTATAGTTTATTCTGAATTTCACCCCACACACTTTTGTTAATGTGCATTAAATTCCTCTTGAGACGGCATTCGATACTAAAATATTAATACTTTTTACAGAATGCCTTACTTTTTCTTTCTTTTAATATTTTATTATAATTTATGTTAAGTTAATATTGTAATTTACATACATATGTTTATTTTGAAATAAAAATGAATAAATCAATCAATCAATTAATCAATTATTATTCTAAGTCTCCTGAAGTGAAACAGAGTTTTCCGCTCGAAAAATATTCATTTTCAATACCATTTCTACGAAAAGTTGTTTTTTCGCCATGGAAAACTTTATGAGCTTTGAGGTAGTTCTAAATATTAAAAAAAAAACGGTTATTCCTTTTTTCCATTTAGAAAAATCGTAGGGGTGAGAGGTTAACATTTTATTTTTTTCTTGGACCAACCTAATGCACATGCGTATATATATTCTTATCTCCTTAAATAAGAACCTGCAACCGCAGGCCATTTACTTTGATGTTTATTTTTCATTTCCCAATTTTTATGCTTCACTATTTACACTTTCACTAAATAAATACACACATACATATGTAAATACATATATTCGAATGATCAGAAATATATCCACACATGCATACATACATATATACAAATGTACGATTATTAATTTACTACCTGCACAGTTAAGTGCATTTTGAGAAGGGGTTTCAAAATTGTGTGTGTGTGTGTGTGAGTTGTTGCTCACCTGAAAACGTTTATCCGACGTATACGTCGCCGTAGCCACAGTCAGTATATGCAAATCACGTTTACGTATCCACGAGACCTGTTGATGGCCATCACATCAGTGCGCAGACAATTGGCAGGCAAGCAGGCAATAAGATTCCAAAGGCAGCATTCCAACGAAAGTGGCCAAATGGGCAATGACAGCAGGCACGAAGGTAGGGATGAAGAGCGGCACCAAGAAAGAAAAAAAAAAAGTTATTTTTTGTGAAAAAAGTGTTAAAAATTGACAAAAGGGGTAATGCGATAAAATGTGTGCGAGTAAAAGTACGAATTTGCAGTTGGAAAGAAAAATGTGGAGCGTGAAAAGAAATATTTTATGCTGAAAAGCAAAAGCAAATATATGTACATACATAAATTTGTATGTATCAGGTAATAAGGAAAAAATTAAAAGCGTAAAGTGGCAACCACAACGTAACGGATGTGGCAAACGGAAATTGATTAATGAGCCTCGATCAAAGTGAGAAATGATTGCGAAGGTTAAGAGGAAATGAAATAAAACTACCATCATTGATGCGGCATTAAAAATGCACAGCACCAACCAAGCAGGCAGTCATTCGTAAAGACGAACACTTTGCGCCCACTTGCCCACGGCCACTCAAGTGTAGTAGATAGGTGGCTAGGTAGCTGGGTCATACTGCGGTTAAGTGTCGTTCTGATTTTTTTTCGAATTTTTTTTTAGTTTATTTTTATTTTTTTTGAGATGGCAGAGATAGTGAAATTGAAAAACCACAAATGGCCAGTTAAGCGCAAGTGAAGTGGTTACCCTTTTTTTTGCGGCATTTTATTTTGTGGGCGTCCTAAACAAACAAACGGCGGATGGGGTAAGAAAATTGCGGCTACTTAGTTTTGATAACGGCGTGAGTTGTAGAAAAGCACATTAATATATGTAAGTAAATAAGTGTCCTATTATTCGAGCTATGTTGACCCTTTTTTTTAGTCTCAAAATTAGAATTCTTTTGTTTTGAAATTTAAGCTGAATTTATCGTACAAATATTGTCCAACACGTCGAAAGGGTCAGATTTGATTCTTCCATTTAACAACATTAGCTATTGACAATTCACATATTTATGTACTTGTATTTGCTAAGCGCATTGCCAAGCTTCTTCTCCGATTGCTGAAGTGCGCGCCTTGATGTTGTCATACAAATGAAGATTTTCAATGACAGAAATACCCTCCTAGGCTTGACGATTTTTCCTACAGCATATCTCTGAAAGTATTTTTGGTAGAGCACTGAAACTTGGTACGAAGATTATTAAAACCAGCACCATACGCATGAAGGAAAATGTGCGTTCTTAGAGAAGGGGGCGTGGAGCCTCCCATATCCCATATCAACTAAATTTAAATAATCAAATTCAATTTGAATTAAGTGAATTAGGTAATTGAAATTTGTTATCACAATGTGACTGCCAGACAAAAGGTGTTGAAGAAGATTGTAGTTTGAAATTATTGTGAAGAGTGTTGCCACCTATTTGCAAAGTGGAATTTAATTAAATTATTCACAAGTCATGTGAAATATTAAAACAAAAAAGTTTTAAGGAATACTTTGTTTGAACATTTAAAATATCTTATAAGGGTTTGAAGAGAGTTGCCAGCTGATAAAATATTAAATTCAATTCAAATGAACTTTTACAATATGGTTATCATCCGAAATAGTTTTAAAAAAACGTCATTTCTAAATGACATTTAGGAGGGTTGCCAACTGTTTAAAAAATTAAATTCAACTTGAATTAAAGAAATAAGGTTATTGAAATATGTATCACAATATGGGTGTCAGACGAAAAAGTTTTAAGAAGCTTGTAGTTTGAAAGTATTTAATTAAAGTACTCACAAGTTATATGATATGTTAAGATATGCGTGTCAAACGAAATAGTGTTAAAAAAATTCAATTGGAACACTAAGAATAATTTTGGAGCGTTTAACAAGGGTTGCCGCCTGTTTGAAAAGTAATTTTAAAATTATTTATTTAATAAGTTTAATAAGCTATTATAATATGGGTATCAATATATATAGTTTTCAATTGGCCCCATTTCTTAATTCTAGGCATGAGCGTTGCCAACGTTTTAAAAAGCCAAATTCAACTTGAATCAGGGGAATGCGTAATTTAAATATGTATGTATTACAATATGGGTGCCATAAATCTAAGAATAACCTATGTTTTTGTAAAAGTTTAAATATGTTTCGTTTTATTCAAACAAATTACACTTAATGGCAATCGCAGAAATTTCATACACTCAGCGAAGTGGGTGAAGGCAAACTAGCAACTGGTGAATCAGACCATCACAAACATAATTTTTTCCGGTAATGACCCATTGTGCGGCGGCCCAATATGCCAGCCCAGAAGAGCTCTCTATTAAAAATGTGGGCCAATAAGTTTAGAAGGGCAATGCACTTCCACTCAGAGACTTCTTGCTCATTGTGAGTACCCTAGTTATCACTAGTTACTTTACAATTTTAAACAGTCACTTGCCATTATTAAACCTATTATCAGAATATGGAGACGGAGAAGGGATACCTGAAGGTTAGGTTAGGTTATAGTGGTCGCCCCAGACAAGGGCCGAGTCCTCGAGAGCTCTTCATGGCAGCGGTAAGCATAAAAAACTCCACTGACTGCCACTAGTCCAACCCAGAGCAGAACCAACTGGAAATCGCACATGTCCTAGTATTAGCCCACCGCTTGCTGAGCTTACAGGAGGCCCAACCGTTCAAGAGTGAACCGCAGGAGGACAGAAGCGTCCCCAGCTACTCCATACCGCGAGATGACGATTCAAAGGTGCCTTTGCTTGTCATCATCCTGATCATCAGCCACGCGATTTACCACAATGTCACTGTGGCCGGGCGACAAAATGAGCCTGATTAGGATGTACTCCGAAACCATTGACAGAGAAGTCCGACATTTCCTCCTGAAAGACACTGCAGAAGTCCAGAAGCATAAAGATAGTTTTGATGGAGAGTCCTGGTAAAAAACATCGCCACCAATCCTGCCTCTAGGTTTGGATGAATCCATGAAAATATTCACTGCTCCCATCTCCTACTACTGAGCCGCATTCAGTGCTCTCTTGAGGTAATGTAGAGAAAAAACTACTGGGAAACATTTCGGTGGAGCAGTATATGGTCCGTCCGTTCAGGGTCTCCAGCACTTAAGGGGGGTCCAGCTTTTGAGGCAGTTAACCACCCGGTTTCCGTAAGCCTAATAGCAATTCGAGCTGTGAATATTCTTCCCGCAATAAATACAGGTGTGGTTCTTAATACGCTACCCTACTCCGTCACGATAGCGCTGTAGCGAAGTACGCCGGGCCCCGAGCATGCCTAAGTATGTATAAAAAGCTATTCGAGTTGACTGAGGCCTACAAAAATTATGCTGCGTAAACGTTTGCCCGAGTTTTATGTGAACACCGGAGCAGGGCGCACTTACTGAAATACCGACTGATTGCATCTTACGACAGAGCGCTTGTACTTGAACGAAATGTGACTAGTTTAAAGTTTGCTAAACATCCGGTCATGAAAATAAGCATGCGTTTGAATGATTCATTGCCAATGTTTCCTCAGCAGCATAGATATTTTTAATTAGCCAATATTGCCACATAACTTTTTTTTTACCTTTACATTTTTTTTATGCTTCACTTTCATCTTCTTATGCTTCTTTCCTTACACATACCATCGATTTTTGCTTGTCTTCTTTTCAAACTTCCGCGTAAAATTGTTCACACCTATTAAACACTCTTACCCCCCCACAATGTCCACCATCCACCCCACTTAAATAGTTATCATTCACTCACCGACTTATCATCCAATCGCTCCACGCGACATTTAATTGCGGCTTCCGCTTGACCGGTACGTGCCGTTATATTACGCGGCAATCCAAAGTCAAAGATTGGCAGCTGATTCACATCGCCCATCGGCACACCCGCCATAGCTGCCTCCCGTATAGATGAAAGACTTTTCAAGGTGTTTGTGTTGGCACCGTCAAGGATGCCATCATTACCGCTGCTACTCGTGCTGCCATTCAATATCACAATGTCCATCATTCGTACGGGCGTTGGGGGGGCTGGTGTGAGGGGCGTGAATGTAGCCGTCGACAGCTGTTGCGAGTGGCGATGATTGTAATTATGCGCCGAAGCAGAAGTAAAAGTACTTATGTCGCTGCTGCTGCTGTCACTACTACTGTTGTGAAAGGTGTTCATGTTGTTGTTGTTGTTATTGTTGTGAAAGTGCTTCTGCAGCGTTTGTTGTGACAGCAATGGCATGGAATTTTGCGACACAGACGGTGCAGCCGTCACGGAGGCAATCGTCGCCGTCAGTGTCGTTATCAGGAGGCAACGCAGCACTGCAAAGAGTGAAAAGAATTGTGAGAACGAGATAACTGGACGATAATATTCAAGTGCAAATGCGCTTATGTTAACATTAATTTACGAGAAAATTGTATATATGAAGATATTTTTACAGCTGTAACGCGTTGTGCGCTAATTTAATTTGTCCACGCATTTGAAGCTCGCGCGTCAAAGTGGAAGGTTATTACTCGTACTTAGTTTAATTGCATTTCTTTATTTTTATCTTCTTTTTTTATTTTTTATCGGGAAGGTATCATATTTTACGGTTATTCTATTTAGTTTGAACTTTATTGCTTTTACATAAGCTGCAAGAAAATTAAATTCGACTAGTAATGTTTCGAAATACAAATTAAATTTGATCTTAATTCGATAACAGGAGGAGTGCTTATAATAGAAAGTAATCTAAGCTCACTACACTATACATATTTATGTAGTAACGACTATAACGTTCGCTTCTGCAACTCACAGAAATAATACTAGCCGAGCTAAATGTGTAAGTATGGTTGGCAATGAGCAGAGCCTTCTTGACTAGCATTCTGTATGTCAATCGGCCCTTTAGTAGCTCTTAAAATATATATTAAGGACTACTTAATACCCGGCATGCTTCGCTGCGACTTTTGCCTGAGGAGTCGTTACTCCCTACAAAAATTCGTATTGCCTCATACATAAAAAATAATATTAATTTAAATAGCTTTATAAAGTGAGAGTTTCAAGACAAACTAGGAGTGGCAGTACTGCCGAAATTCCGATAACTTATCCGTCCGTTTAACTTATACAGTCCGTTTAACTTATAAGGTATAAAATTGATTACCCGCAAATCTCCTACTTTGGCACTAAAACGTAACCTCAATTTTTTATACCTTTGAAGAACAGTCCCAGAATAATAATTATTTCATGGTAAAGTTTTAAAAAAGTCATCAAAATTTTCGTAAGAATTATAAAAGTCTTTCGGTAATAATTATATGTGAGAAATTTTTTTAAAGTCATCGATAACTATTATTTTAAGACTTATATTAAAAAAGCGTTTTCATAATAATTATCATTGAGAAAAATATTTTTAAGTCTTCAAAGACTTTTATTTTGAGACTTATTTTATAAAAGTTTTTTGATAATAATTATGAGTGCCGAAAAATTAGTCCCGAACTGGGCCCCACCTAGCCCAGGACTGGTCCCCAACTAAGCCTGAAATGCTCTTGAACAATTCCCGTCTTTTAATACTTGAAATTTTTTTTCGCGCTCATAATTATTATGAAAAGACTTTTATAATATAAGTCTTAAAATAAAAGTCTTGGTAGATTTAAAAATATTTATCTCAATGATAATTATTATGAAAAAGCTTTTTTAATATAAGTCTTAAAATAAAAGTCTTTGAAGACTTAAAAATATTTATATCTCTGATAATTATTTTGAAAGGACTTTTATAATATAAGTCCTTGAATAATTACTATAGATGACTTGACAAATATTTATCTTAATATAATGATTATTGATTGACTTTTATTCTTTTCTCTTATAATAGTTATGTCTCTGCTTTGAGGGTTTTTGGAGGACTTTGGCAGGACTTGGAATTGACCCAATACAGTCCACTTTGTCGATAAATTCCGATAACTTGATATACATATATCGATAATTCAATGAATTTCAAAAACACTAGAATCCGATAACTCAACAAAGGCGATAGCTCAACTAACTTCGATAACTGTGCATTCCGAGGGCTCGACAAATTTCGTTAACTCAAAAATTTATACATTTCGATATAAATCGATAGCTCTCTATAAATTTCGTTAACTCGGTTATTTTTTTAGCTCCATATTTTTCGAAAGCAATCGACACATTTCGATACCTCGCCAGACTCTAGTAACGCGATAAAATTCGAAATGCAGTGATAACTCGTTAAACTTATGTAACCTTGAAATTTCGATAACTCCTTTTATTTTGAAAATTCTAAAATCATCGCTTCGATAAATAGACAAATTTCAGTAAATCATTAAACATCGATAAATCGATAAGTTCAAAGAACTCGATGAATTACGATAACTCGATAAATTTCGTTAGGTCTACAAATACTGATAATTCAATAAATATTGTAAACTTGATAAATTTCATTAAATTGACTAATTTCATTTATAGCTCGATAACTATCCGTAAATTTCAACACCTTAATATACATTGATCAATTTGAATAATTCGATACGTTGCGATAACTCAGAGAGTATGGATAAATAAATTTCGATAACCATAAATTTCGGTGATTTGATAAATTGATAAGTTTCGATAACTAAATATTTTATCACCGAATTTATGTCGATCTGTATCGAAAAATTTCAAGAAATTTCCTTACCCTTTCTAATACCCGAATTTTTACGTATTTCTCATTGTTTTTATTTTTCTTTATTTCAAATTTTGCCTTCGCTTTTTTGTCTTAATCGTTATCATTTTTTTCTTATCATCAAATTGAAATTTATTAAGCGAAGGCAACATTTAAAATAAAGAAAAAAGAAAACAATGAGAAATACTTAAAAATTCGGCAAAACAAAATGCGAAAACAATTCAAATTGAACTGGTTGCAACACCAACCAAACACAAATTTGGAAATTTTTTAACGACGATTTTATGCTAGCGTATTCTTTGACATAAGCATTTAGTGCCGTCTTCTCGTGTAGCTTTTAAAATTTATCCGACCTTTAAACACATTTTCTCAGAACAAAATTTGTGTTTAAAGGGCAGAAAGAATTTAAAACCTATTTTAGGAGACGACTCTTAAAGTCTTTTTTTTATGTTTTTTTATAATGCTAGCTGAAGTATTTTCGAAGGTAATTAGAGATTAGGGAAGTATCGGCTTTCTCCTGAAAATTTAGTCTATATACTTATAACTCGAGTATTCATATCGCGCACTCGCGTATGTTATTACAGTTTTCCTTAAAGTTTATTCAAACGCTTATACTGGGTTTACATATAAGTAGATTATACTCATTTTCGAGCTTAACTCCCTAATCTGTAAGTAGAAAAAGAGATCAGCCATACAAAATTCGTCCCTCGTTAATCTGTAATTATAATATAAACTCAGATTAAACCGATAACTTTTGGGTGTGCAACCTAGTTTTATCGATTATTTTTGCGAGGAAGAGAAGAAATGTCAATCCAAAGGAAATGTTTAAGATTTTTGCAAAGGAGTCAAAAGAAGAAAGTTTTACCAAGTCCAATAGTCAAATTTTAGCTGGAATAAAACAAAATAAATAAATTTCAAGTTTTTCCCTCAATATAACAGACATAAGTAATAAATACCACGACCTTTATTTGTAAACTTTCGTACATTTGTCTCCTCCCGGAGCCGCCAAAGTACTTACTATTGAAATTTTTCACTTAATACCTGTAAATTAAGTAGTCTTATTTTTCGTATTTAAAAGCACAAAAGTAACAGCTTGATAAAATCATTGAAATTTATTACACCAAAGTGAAGGTAAAAATTAAAATAAATGCTTTAGTGACCATTAAAATAAACTTAAGTTCTAAAAAACGTGAACAAAGAAATAGTATCTACATAAACGAGTATCAACTCGAGTATACTCGTTCTTGTCGATGCTTATAAAAAAGGAATTGCAATTAAATTTTAATGACAGAGACACACTGCCACACTTATGTAAGTAGATTTGCAGTAGCACACACACTCACACACATATATGTACACGTTTTTATGCAGACTTACTGCCACAACCACAATGTCCTTATTTCTCTATACTGGCAGTGAACTAGTCAGTTTAAGCAATAAAAATGCTATTCACTGGAATTTTCAACTAACTGACTTGCTACCACACTGACAGCATTTGCATTTATTTGGATTTGTGTGGGAAGTTATTTTTTTTTTGTTTTGCACAAAAACTGTTGCAAAATGTGTACATTCAAACATATTTAAATAGATACATATGTAAAGAAACACACATACATGCATACATACATATGTACTATGCGAGTACTTAGAAAGAACACAGAATTATATAAATAAAATACATTGAAACAAAAGCTGACAGCTGAGTGTACATAGATACACATACATATATGTATGTAAGTAGGAAAGTTTCGAAAATATTTCCTGTGGAAAACGGGCGAATTTCGTATTCGACTTATGTTTTAAATTTTTGCACATAAATATGTACAATTTACATATGTATTTTTGTAGCTCAATTTCGTACTGGTATAATTGAACTCAGAAATAAAACAAAAAAACTTTTTTAAATATGTTTTAGAGCAAACATTTCTAAAGCCCTTGGAAAACTCTGATGGATCCTATAAAAAATAAATCACAAAACGCCAAGAAAAATGCCAATCGAATTACCAAAACGACCGAAAAGTGCCAAAAAAAAAAGAGACGAGGAGTAACGAAAAGTCCCGAAATGATACTGACCAATCCCGAAGAGATTTCGTAAAAACCTCAACGGGCCTCGAAAAAAAATCCCAAAGTTACTAAAGGAAAATTAATATGAAACGCGAAGAACTCCGAGCAGTCACGACAAATGACAAAATTTAGCGAAAAAAAAATCTTTTATAAAAGCAAATATAATATTTATTTGAATTTTGGGACCAACATAAATGTTTACAAAAAGTACCGAAATCTCGTGAAAGCTCCCAAATCCAGAAAATTTTAAAAATAATAATTAAAAATTCCTAAATCTTACCAAAATTTTCTAAAGGCCATGAAAAATTAAATCCGAAGAATATTGTAAAATAACGAAAAATTCCAAAAGATTATGAAAGACAAAAATAACAAAAGCCCAAATAAAGAGAACAGTCCAAGAAACTCTCAACGTTGCCTAAAAGATTCCGAAAAATAAAGCAAGAACAAAAATGACAAAGTCTCGAAACACGCCGAAAATGTTCTGATAAATCCCAAAGAATAATACCAGATCCATTTCGAAAAATTAGGTCAACCGATTGTAAAAATGTATTGACAAAATGCTGAAAGATTTCCGAAAAGAAAAGACAAAAAACGAAAAGTCCA